TAAATAAAATTATAAATTTATAATATTAAAAAATTAACTATCAGATATATATAAAAAAAAACAATCTTAATCGATACATTTCACACGTGTCTATACAAACGTTGCCGTTAATCCCATTTTCCTATTAAAATGCATCTTACCGCGGACAATTCAATCCGTTAAACCTCTTCCGTCCAATGTCTATCTTACACTAAACCCTTAAACCCTCCCCCTTCAGAAAAACCCTTCTCCCTCCATATCCCTACTAACTCTATCCATGGCTATGTCCTTGTTAGCCACCAGAGCAAGAGCCAAAGCTAATCCTCTCCTCACATGGCGAGCCCTGAAGTTCCGTACCATCTGCAGCGGCAGCACTGGCGTTGCCTCCTCTGACTTGGATCCACCTGACTCCCTTGTTGCTGGCACCAAGGTCCTCGAGACGTTTCAGGAGGAATTCGAGATTGGATCACGAGTAATAACCCTTGAAACGGGTAAAATTGCTCGCTTTGCTAATGGGGCTGTTGTTCTGGGCATGGACGAGACGAAGGTCTTGTCCACTGTTACCTCCTCTAAAGGCGACGCTGTACGCGATTTTTTACCCCTCACTGTAAGTGCGCTCAATAACAAATTTGTTTTGGATGAGGAAATCTGTATGCAGAATCCATGCAGTTGGGTCGTGACACTGTTATGGTTTTTTATTTTGTTTCCCCTTGTAAGGTTGATTATCAAGAGAAGCAATTTGCTCAAGGTGTGATTCCAAATACATTCATGCGAAGGGAAGGTGCTCCTAAAGAACGTGAACTTCTATGCGGTCGTCTCATTGATAGGCCCATACGGCCACTTTTTCCGGCTGGATTTTACCATGAGGTTCAGGTGGGTTGTTACACTTTTGAGTAGTTTGATTTTTCCTAGCAGTTTTTGTTTGTCAATTTCTTTGCTTGCAATACCTCTAGATTCATATAGCCCAATTGATAGGTAATGGCAAGTGTTCTTTCTTCTGATGGGAAACAAGATCCAGATGTGCTGGCAGCTAATGCAACATCTGCTGCCCTTATGTTATCAGATATACCTTGGAATGGACCCATTGGTGTTGTGCGGATAGGGAGGATTTGCGGACAATTTATTGTGAATCCAACAATGGATGAGGTAATACATTAATCTTTTAGGCATCACTTGGATAGCACATGAGAATTAATTAATCACTTTGGAAGCTATTGCACTCCAAGTGGAATTCATACATTTCAAGGGGGAAGAGTTGCATGCTGAGTGTCTGTACACTGAGTTGATGCTTTTAAGCTTTCTAAACCTCTGCAGGTGCTCATATTGCTTCTGTCAAAATATAATATTCCCTTATCTTCTCATTTTCTCATTGGTACTTAAATTCAATGCAGCTTAGTTTGAGTGATCTCAATTTGGTATATGCCTGTACAAGGGACAAAACTTTGATGATAGATGTGCAAGCTCGTGAAATCTCTGAGAAAGATTTAGAAGCTGGGTTAAGACTGGCCCATCCAGAAGTGAGTCATTTAAACTGGTACTGATTTTCATTTAGTCTCGTGGGTATGGAATGCGCACTGAGATGCTTGAGTTCATTCAATTAGGCTGTTAAATATCTTGAACCTCAAGTCAGACTTGCTGCCAAAGCTGGTAAACAAAAGAAGGAATATACATTGTCGATGGTCTTGGAAACAACGTTGGAAAAAGTCAGTAAGCTGGCATCAGCACCAATAGAGGCTGTTTTTACTGATCCTTCTTATGGCAAGGTGCACAGAGTTTTTTACTTTCTTTTTCCTTGTCTTGCTTCTCTTTTCCTAGAGGACACACACATTACAATCTCAACATGCAGAACATGCAATATAGCTTCCTTTGATTTTCATACTATGGTGATTTTTGGAAATCCAGTTTGAACGTGGTGAGGCTTTAGATAAGATCACACAAGGCGTAAGACAAACACTTGAACAAGAATGTGATGAGGAAAGCTTAAAAGTCCTGCCAAAGGTAGTAGACACTGTAAGGAAAAAGGTAAGCTGTGTCCTTTATTACCTATGACATTTTTTATTTTTCATGATCTGTTGTTTGGCCTGTAATTTCTGACTTGGAATGGATTGGATAAATTAGTGTTTGGATGATTGAAATCAGTGGAGGTGCCTGGATGATCATTTTGTTACATTCGTATAGAGTTCTTACATGTGTTAAGGTTGACGTCTTTCAAGTTGAATAAAATTATCAGGTTGTTCGCAAAAGGATTATTGAAGAGGGATTTAGGGTTGATGGGAGACATCTTGATGCAGTCAGGCCAATATATTGTGAAGCTGGTAATTTACCTATATTGCATGGTTCATCACTTTTCAATCGTGGAGATACCCAGGTTTAAACACATTTCCCCCTTACCTAGGGTCTGGATATATTAGGTTTTACCTTAGATTTGACCTAAGGCATTTATTTGAATTTTCAGGTTCTTTGTACTGTGACACTTGGATCACCTGCTGATGCTCAGAGGTTGGAATCCCTGGTTGGTCCACCAACAAAGCGCTTCATGCTTCACTATAGTTTTCCCCCATTTTGCATCAATGAAGTTGGCAAACGAGGTGGCCTGAATAGGCGTGAAGTTGGGCATGGTAAATTATTTGTCACTTTTCATAATATTATCACTGAACTAGACCAAGTTAATTCTGGTTTCTTGGAGATGATTGCTAGTGTTATCTTTAGACTGCATTAATTATATGCTGAACTTGCTTAATTTTGAAAAACCATTGGGGCTCTGGACTAAAGACTGTTGTGCCTAGTGCTGTTAATTTTGAAGTTAACTTAAGGGTATGACTTGTTATGGAGTACAACCGCGTATAATTGAATTCTGCATGCCATCTGGTTTGATGCAGTTTGTCTGAAGATGAATATCTTATGATACATTACAAAGCATGCTTACATTCACTGATTTGTTTGATTGACTGAGAATGTTTGCTTGTTCCTCTTTTCTCTCTATTGTTAAGGAACTCTTGCGGAGAAAGCCTTACTTGCTGTATTACCTCCTGAAGATGATTTTCCATACACTGTCCGTGTTAATTCAGAAGTCATGGCTTCAGATGGTTCAACATCGATGGCTACCGTCTGTGGGGGTATCTATTTTCACCCATTGCTGTGCATTTTGCTCAATTTTTATGTTTACTTTCTGCTTGAATTTCTGGGCATTATCATATTGTAAATGCTCAGGTTTTTGTATAAGCCTCTTCCTTTAAATGTGCTAACAGTAGGAAGTAAATACTTAGCTTGATGCCTTCTCCTGTAGGCAGTATGGCTTTAATGGATGCTGGTATTCCATTGCGAGAACATGTAGCAGGTGTTTCAGTGGGTCTTGTTAGTGAAGTTGACCCAGAAACTGGTGAAATTAAGGACTATCGTATATTGACAGATATTTTGGTAAGCATTGTAAGCTTGTATTTTAATTGCCTTCAGTTCTTGAATATATGAAAATTTCTTTTTCTTGCTATTGTTTCTCATCTTATGCTAAAATGCTTGCAAGATTCTGGAAACTATTGCCCATTATTCTTCTTTCTGGATTATTTATGTAACTTTTTTCATGTACATTCCTACTGAAATAAAAATGGTTTTAGTAGTTTGCTGTATATGTTGTCCATCTTGCTCTTCTGTTTTTAAAAAATTAGACTGTAATTTTCAAGACTGTTAAATATCTCAAAAATTGCTTGAGTGATTTTATTAAATATTAAACTCTTTAGGGCCTTGAAGATCATCTAGGAGACATGGACTTCAAGATTGCTGGGACTCGAAAAGGAGTAACAGCGATTCAGTTAGATATTAAACCTGCGGGAATTCCACTAGATATAATTTGTGAGTGTTTAGAGCCTGCACGTAAAGGTCGTGTTCAAATTCTTGATCATATGGAGCAAGAGATTAGCGCACCACGAACCCAAGATGATAGAACTGCTCCACGGTTAGGTTTGATTCCTAATCCCTTTTTGTTTATGCTTACACTTACCTGGTTGACATGTTAATTCTTTTTATGGTTCAACTAAAATTTGTGGTGTGGGATGAAGCTACCTTGAAGTTCAGCAATGATGCTATCCGCCGCTTCGTTGGGCCTCTAGGTGCTCTTAAAAGAAAAATTGAAGAGGAAACAGGTGGGTTACAACTTGTTAATATTTTCCACATAAGGAT